GGCCCCGGCCACCCTGCAGCCAGGGACCCCTCGCTCGCCCGGGAGCTGTTAGACCCCGCGTTCTTTAAACAGCAGGGGAATGGGGAATGTCTGCAAGCATGGCTTTAGCAAGGCAGATCCCACTGCCTCCCTCCTTATTTTGCTAACCGGTGCTTTTCGTTTTCAGGCGCTCGCCCTCCTTTTGTACTTCTGAGCTGACCAAATAGATCCCAGGATGAGTCGTTACATGTTATTTCCAGCAATCCCCTTAACCATAAAAACCACAATTAACAACGTTATGCGTGTTTCATGTTCTCTAACATACTGCATATGTAGAATATTTTCCTGCAGATTACTGCCGTGTGTTGAAAATGCCACTTTTTTACCCCTCTCTTGTCTCGACCACTCGCCGTGTGGGAACAGTGACAAACACAAACATGATAGCATAGCTCTCATTTCTGCAGAAACTTGAATTTATTGGCAACTAAATCTGTTAGAGGAAAAAGGATCAGAGACCATGTAAAAAAATCACCAAGTGAATTGATGGAACAGCAAACTTCATACATGCTACCACTATTTTGCATTATTGCTAGTAGTGGTGTTTTAAATAAAAAAACAGTAAAGAGATTATGCCACTGTAGTCAAGTAAGCGTAGGTTATGGAACAATCGCTTCTTAAAGTGAACTGTTGTAAACGGCAAGTTACATCTTTTAAGGCAATACACCTCGTTTCTGAAGGCATTACATGTGGTCCCTTTTTAATGCTCTGGAGAATTAAACATAGTCCAAAACTTTCTTTTGTCTTCCATCTGGCAGCAGAAATCTTCCCAATAAATTTACCAGGGAACTCTACTTGTGTCAAATACCTACAGAGTGTAGTCCATAAAGTACGCACGTTTCTCTTGATTGCATTTTCCCCTAGAAAATTCTGTTTATATTTATGTACACCAAGAATTGGAAAATGGTGGCGATTCGTTACTGATACATTTTATCTCCTGTAAACATCACAACAAAATGGTAACCTGGCTCACCAGAAAAGCCTTTGGTTTTCCTCATTATTAGAACTTACCTTTATGGGACAAAATTGTTTATTTATACATGACTCAAAGATATGACTTTATATTATTAAGACTGAAATGATAATGAACTCTGCTTGCAATAATAATGACAATGCTATCAGAAACAGTTGCCAAACTACCAGAATTGGAAATAATACCTTTTTTTTTTTCTCCCCTGTGAGTTATTGTACCTGGCTAATTTCTCCAACAGTAATAAAAACACGAATGTCCTTGTTAGTGGCTTGTACTAAACTGAGGTGTACACGTGTGAAAATTATTTGGCTGTTTAACTTCTTGCTTTTTGATGCCGCCTGCGTGGCAGTGGGCCCAGCAGAGCAGCCTGCCAGGGATGCCCGGTGGGTGCCGGGACCAGGGCACTCCCTGCCCCGCTCCCACTCTGGGGCCTGGAGTTCCCGGGCCGCTGGCAGGGCTGGGCGCCATATTTCACGTCCTCAACTCTGCAGAGCCTATTTGGTATAAATTTATGCCTATTCCTCCCCCTCCCCCCTTCCCAGGATTATTTCGGGAACCTGAAAAGACACCTCTGTAATTTACAATTCCTGCCCAAATCAGCATATCTCTAATTGGAAGTAAACAGGGTCAGGGGACAGAGTTACTTTGAAAGTGATACATTGTTTAATTGACAAGGCGAAATTTTATGTTTCAAGTTTGCATATTGCACCTTTGTAGCTTTTGGGTTTGGCTCTCTTTATTTTTTTTCCTCTTTTTTCTTTTTTTTTTTTATTTTTTTTTGGTCAAAGGAAGACCTTTGTCGAGCAGACACGGCTTTCTATAACAGAGCGGGGGTCTTTCCTGAGCAGTACATTTTGTATGCATTTACAGTTCTCTGGAAATAAGGCTGTGATCTGTGCAGCTCTAAACACACGAGTGTAAACATCCATCTCAGAACAACTTCAGTAAGCAGATTTTTCACGACCATCGTAATTTCAGCAGAGTGGTTAAGTATGCAATGCACCTTTTGCAATTGGCAGTTTAAAGTGATGTGTGTGTGCGTGTGCATGCGTGTGCGTGTGCATGCAGGGGGGAAGGGAAGGGTAACTCCACTGAAAAGCGATTGTTTACTCTTTCTAAATATATTTGGCTGCAGGTATTCTTAGACTAGGCCATTTACAATAAGAGGAAAACGACGGTGTGGTTATAGTAAACAGAGCTGAAATCAGTTAGTGACTCCTTGGAATATTCAGGGACACGAGGGGTTGGGAGAGGGCATCACAAAAGGCAGGAATTAAAAAACTGAAACGCGGGCACTGGATTGCCATCAGAAATGTTGACTTTGAGTCACACAGTAAACACTACATTGTTGCTTTGTTTTCCTCTTTTGATTTACGATAAATTATTCTCTCGGGATTGATCGATGAGTGGAATCCTTAAAATTTAATTTGGGAATGATCTAGTATAAATAAAATGCTAATCCAAAGAAAGAAACCAGCAATTATTCATCCTAAACTCTGCTGATTCAGCAACTCAATTATAACTGCCTTTCTCAAGCTGCAAACTTTTCAGGCTGTTTTCAGAGTTGCTGTACCCGTCCTCCCCCCGCAAGAGAGACCTTTCCCCGTCCTCAGCTCTGCCTCCACCTCGGCCTCCAGCCTTTCTTTTTTTTTTTTTTCCCCCTTCCCTTTCTTTTCGAGGAGTTGGGGAGGAGAGGGGGGTGGGGGGAGGAGGGAAATAGTTAACCTCTCGAAGCGTATTTCCTCCAAATAAAAACAGTAAACTTACAAATGGAGAGGAAACCACGGATAACTCTGCAATAATTCAAAGTGTATGGAATCAGGATTTTTTTTTTTAAACAGTGTTTTTAATTGAAAATAAAGCTAAAGCATGCTTTTCAACAGTGCAAATTTCCATAATTTTGATTTACTGCTTCCATCATCACAATATATTATACCAGCATGTCTTACCGAGGGCTAGACTCTAGAAGTCTGCCTGTTCGACTATTTCGATCTTAAGTGCAAATATAGATAATTGCCTCTGATTGTCACGTGCAGTAGAAATGTTTCTGCTACATAGAGAGGGTGGCACGGGAAAACAAAACAAAACAACCAAACCCCAAAATAAAAACCAACCCACAAAAAAAAAAAAAAAACAACACGACAAGAAATTTAAAGAGATGAGGATAGAACCGGGAAGTGTAACACGGTTGAAACGCCTGAGTTTTGGTGCCAAAAAGCTATGAATAACACGGTCGTCTCGTTTTGTGTATTCTTTCCACTCACGGCCTCTCGTTTCACTTTCTGTGTTGTATTTACTGCTTTGCTATTTCCTCCAGCCAGCGTGAGGGGCTGGACCATAAATTGCACTGCTAGCCGGGCAAACATTTTTAGTTGCTTTGCAAGTTTGCAAGGGGCATGTTCAGACCACAACTTAAGTATGACATTAGTGGGTAACAGTAACCTTATTTAAGACCTCTGGGTGAAACAAAAAGGCTTCCCAATTGCAAAGAGTGGCTGTACAAGTAAAAAGACACCCTTTTACAAAAAATAGAATTCCACATTTATTTACTGGTTTCAGATGAGGCAGCTTTTCCCAGCGCTGGGGTCACAGGCGGACCCCAACCTTTCCAAACCAGAGAAAAATGACTAAGTGCAACTGCTCTTTGAAAAAGACACCCCTGCACCCGAAAACAAAGCTCCCGAATAGTAGGCTGCTGCCACATTGAATTATAGTGAACCCTTACTGTGCAACCGTGTAACTTAACAAACTTTAACTGAATTAACAGTTAGACTTTCATTTTCGAAATCTAGTGCATAAATTTAATGGCTCATTCTAATATTTATTATTAAACCTTTTGACATTTATTTGCAGCAGTTGGATTGAGGTACTGGTGCATTATTAGCATTTAAACAGTAAAGTGTTCCAGCTCTACCATAATAACTGAGTTTGACTTGAGTCTTTAGCCTGAAGTACTCTGTGGAATGTAGCAAAAAAAAAAAAAACAAATGCAACAGAACCCTCAAAAAAAAAATTTAAAACCCAAAACAAAACAAAAACCCACTGTTGTAAAGAAAATAGTAATCCGGTTTCTGTCTTCACAATGTGATAGAACTGGATTCCAAAAGTGTGTATAGCATTAATGGGCTTGTACAAACCATCCTGCAGAGTTTAAAAAAAAAAAAGTAAGAAAGTTTAAGGTGGTTCAAGAAAATATTTTCCAAACTATTTTATTAATTAAATTTCCTGAATTTGTGGCTAGGTGGAAGAGGTATTGCAGAACCGCCCAGCTGCCATTTCCATACAGGATGGGCCTTGTGAGGTGGTTGGGAATCCTTAGTGGTGTTTAAGGAATAAGCTGGCAACAAATCCCCATCATTGCCAATAATTAGTGATGGTGGACAGGGAAAATTTGCCATGAAATTAAATGGCCTTTTCACTGCTGATGCTACATTGCTGGCTACCCTTTTGCGTCTATTGTTAACTGTAAAATCATCCAGTGTTCCTTCATGTGTCTCGATTTTACCTGTAGGACGTGGGCTTCGAGCTGATTTCAGATTTGGTTTGACTGGAGGAGTCTGCAGTACAGGTCGCTTTCCCAAAACCAGTGTCCTGTAATTTTTTCTCACCCTTGCTCCAAATTTATACTCCCCATCCTCAGGTTTTGGAGTACCTAAAGTGCATGAGAGGACCTGACTCTGAGTCAGCGGGTTTAAGGAAGTGGTTTCTTTCTCAGTGCATGCAGAATCTTCCTTGGCTGTGAATAAAGCGTCCTGGTTATTACTCTCAGTCACACCGTAAAACTCATCCTTAGTATCATTGCACTCACACTTTAGCTTATGTGTTGTAAGGTCAGGCTCATACTCGTCGTTCGCACTGCTGTCCTCTATTTTGATTTTAATGCTGTGCAGGAATGGCAATGCCTTATTGCCTGTATCAGTGCACTGGAGCTCAGCTGCTGCTGCTGCTGCCCCTGGAGAAGCAGCATCCTCCTCAGGATCAGTTTGTAAAGAGGGCAAATCCGTGGCAAATTCAATACAATGAGGGATTTTGGAATCTTTCTCTGAATTTGCTGCCGCTGATGAAGAATCATTATTTAGGAACCTGGCAGCTATTGTATTGTTATCTGCACGGTGTGTAGTAGTTGCTTGAAGGCATTTCCTTGCCTCTCTGAGTATTCTTTGTTGTGGAAATGCATTGTTTGTCTTTGGGCTAGGTGAAGAGGCCCCCTTTGCAACACAGTTAATTGTTAGGTCAGTACTCTTGGCATTATTGGAAAATTCAGAGTGTGGGAATGTGATCTCGGATACCGTATCATCTCTTATCTCCGCGAAGCAGCTCCCCAGGCCGCCGGAGCAGCGCAGCGCCG